ACAGCAAAGCAGACAGCAATCTCCATCAGCTGCTGCTGCTCCCAAGTAAAAGAATACATAAATGTCTCTGAAGGCTAAAAATGTGCCCACAGGCAAAGGAAAAGAATACATTGGAATACACTTTAAAGACACAGCTAATACATGATACTTCAGCAAAGGTATAATCAGATACAGTGGGGTATTTTGTGTGCTTAGTTTGATCAAGAGTGATGCTGGGGATGGAATAGGACTCTCTGCCTTAGCTAGATCCTGATCACAGCTGAGCCTTCAGAAACACTCATGCAAACTTCACATCCTGACCTTTAACTGGAAAATCCTTTTGCTGCTATGTCCTCACATAAAGTAATGATTCCTTCTGTTACTACTGTTCTAAGCAAACTAGGATTCATAGGAGTAATTTTTTTTGAGAGGGACACAGTGGTCTGTACTATGTAATCAGAACAAATCTAAAGAAAACTCACTGATTCATTGAATCTTATTTTAGGTGTAAAATTTGAACTTCCTGGATAGATATATAGAAATACCTTTTTCTAAGTATAAAATGGCTGTAATTTGTAAAATGTGGCCACCTTAAGTCTGATTACATATTTTGTAATGCATGCTTTTAATTAATGCTAACCAGCCATACACATTGGATATGAGCTCTTAAATTAAACAACCAAAACTAAAATAAAACCAAACAATAAATATAGTTATTGCTCAGGAGTCTTCAGTATACTTTTGGACCTTACAGAGGAAACATTATGACAAGAGAAAGGTACTTTTTCTTTTGATATAGAGGTATTTAGAGCTCTTCATAACCTGATGAGAATTTTCTGAATCATTGCAAAGTGACTGCATAAGTGATTTCTTCTTCCTTATCCTGAGGTACCTATTTTCCTGTCTTAAGTGCTGCCATGTGCTTTTGTATATGAGAGAGGAAAGAAAAGTGGCTTTTTCACTGGACCATTCAGCTGGTACCAAGAGGCACTGCAGGAAATGTGAGAATTGATGTCAAATACAAGTATGTTTGATCTGCAGCAAGGGAAAGCAAAATTCTCCCAGCAGTAAGCAGACTAGTGGAATAAAGAGCTATTCAATAACATCTTTCTCACTGTTTTTGGCCGGGGTAGAGTTAAAATTCTTCCCAGTGGCTGGTGTGTGGCTGTGTTTTGGATTTGTGCTGAGCACAGGGCTGATAATACAGAGATGTTTGTGTTATTGCTGAGCATGGCTTGCACAGAGCTAAGGCCTTTTCTGCTTTTTGTGCTGCCACACTGGCAGGGAATTTTGGGGTATGTGGGAGGTTTGGAGGAGCCACAGCTGGGACAGTTGACCCCAAAATGACCAAAGGGCTATTCCACACCATATAACATTATGCTCAGTGTATTAAAGGCGGGGGAAAAGGAGGAAGGAGGGTGGTTGTTTGGAGTGATGGTGTTTGTCTTCCCAAGTAACCACTACATGTGACAGGGCCATGCTCTCTGGAGATGCCTGAACACCTGCCTGCCCATGGGAAGCACTGAATCAATTCCTTGTTCTGCTTCGCTTACTTGTGTGGCTTTTCTTTTCATAGTGAACCGTCTGTATCTCAACACATGCGTTTTCAACATTTTGCCTTTCTGATTTTCTTCCTGATCCTACTGGTGAAGGATTCAGTGTGTGGGGCTTGATTGCTGGCTGGGGTTAAACCACAACACTGGCATAGAAAATCTGATTTTTTACCATATCACTTGTGACCCCAGGTGCTGAGCAGACAGAGGCCATTGAATGAGCAGTGTTTTACAGCTGTTGTAGCTGCCAGCAGAGATAGAGGAGAGAGGTAATGTGGCTGTGCAGTCCTTGGCCTGAATAGTTCTGGGTAACAAATCCCTATGGATTCAGACTACTCTGCCTAATACTGGGAATAGGTTTTCTATGGTGAAGCCTGAAGAATGAGGATGACAGACTGTGGCTGTGTAGCCATGGTGATCTTATTGAAGTTGTTAAATAATCTGGAGGATCAACTGTAACTCTGCCAAGGTGGCCATGCAGTCTGGTAACTTAGGGGAGAGCAAACCTGATGCTCTTCTTGCAGTGCTTGAGGAGAGTTGAAAGTTCCTGAAGATGGCTCAGGTTATGCAATGAGATGTTCAAGGATTTGTCTGAAGTCACAGTGTTGAGTGTGTGCCGTTAGCAGATGTGAAATATAAAAGCATTTCTAAAATCACAGTCCTTGGTCAGCTCACTCAACCATAAGTAACTCACCTTGTCTGAAGAACCACAGCTGTGACCCTGAAAATTGTGTTCTTCTGCAGGACAGAACAAGGGATAACTCTTCTGTTAGCAGAAGGATACTGCTCTTTTATGTAATGCAGCCTGGTGACTTAAATGTGACAACCCCAGGAGAGCATTTGCATCTTCACAATCCATTTCCACCTCCCAGAAAACTGCTTCCTTTACCATCTTGTGCTCTCATGAGAGATGAGAAACTCTCAGCAACTCCTACTGAATGTGCCAATACCTATAGAATTAAAACTCAAGGAGTGAAAGAATAGGTGTTCAGCAGCATGTATGAGTATAGACTCTGATATGGACAATTAATACAGATTGGAATCTTAAGATCCAGCTTCTGGTCCAAGCTCAGTATTTAAAATTTCCAAGAAAAGCCCATGAGGTCAGCCCAATATGCAGGGATTTCAGTAACATGAATACACAACTAATACAAAAAATGTGGCACCTATGGATTCATGCTTACAGGAGTGGGCAGCATGTTGAGTGGGAGTTTTGAGGATAATTTTGAATGTAGTTCTGAGTTTCACCAAATGCATCCAAGTGCTGATCTTTTCCTGGGTTCAGTTTACACCAAGACAAGGAGCACTTGGATGTGAACTAATGCTGAAATAAGGCTTATAATGAGCCTGGGATTCAGATCCAGCATACAACAATCTGAAAAGGGACATCATGAGTTTCTTACAGTGCCAAGATTGTTTTGCTAAATAAAAACAGCCTTCAAACAATTTTATCTTTTCATCTAAAGTGCAGGCATGTGCTAATGAAGTAATATAACCAATAGATTTTCATTTTGGAGTATTCAGACCAGGAAATAAATGCTGCTGTAGTGAAATCTACGAACTACCAAAAGCCAGACTCTTCTGCATTACTTTTTTCTGTGAAAATCTGCAGTCATTTTTCTGAATTTAGAGGCAGAATTAACACTTGCAATGGAGTGACACAAAGCAGAATCCAAGCTTTTTTTGCTATTAGGCACTCTTGTTGCATAAATAAATACAGTATGTAACTGCTGTATTTTTTAATTAAAGTCAGCTTGCATTTCAGTTGCACATACAGTCAGCACTTATTTACCATTCATTTTCTCTTGGAATTTCTAAAAAATATGGGATGCTAAATGCTAATTCAGGTAATTGTACTAATTCAAAATCTCATATATAAAGCTCAAAAAGATAAGCATTCACATGAAATTGCTTGTGTTAGTCTTTAAATTAAATTGCTCATTAGATTGTCTCCTGTGTCCTACATTCAAAGGTCATTTCACTATGAGTAAGAAAAAAGCGAGGGGAAATAGTCTCCAAAAGAAGGCACAACTGCATATCTTTTCTAGTATGTTGTATCATAAAATTGCATCTAGTTTACTTACACAGTAGAAGCCCGTGCTTTCCAAGACAATAAAACAGAAAAATAAACCATAAGAGAGGGAAATCCCAACCCTTTAGCACACCTAAACTTTTTCACCTGGAAACTGAAAGCAAGACACTGTTATCCAAATCTTCCAAGCAGGAAAAATCATCACAGAGATTTATTTGACTGCAACAGGAGCTGGTGGTTTATCCCTCATGTTTGGTGTTTTACTCTTGGGTTTACTGGTTTGGGGTTAGGGTTTTTTTGAAAGTATTTTCTGAAAAAATATGCAAGGAATTTACCAGCTTTTCCACTGTGTCCCTGTTAGTGATCAGATTTCCATGGAATAGGGATTTTGCATATGATTTTGAGAAAAGGTGATCCTCAAATGACATGAAGCACACCCAGAAGATGCTGTTCTGTTTACAGGTGTGTGATCTTGCTTTCAGGAATGTCTTGTCCATAGACAGCACTTGTGTCAGTGGCCAGAGGCTTTTTGAACTGATGTGCAGTGGCCTCTCAGATCTATATGGTTCCTGACAGGTCTATTCTGTTGCTGCTTTGTACCCACTTCAAAATTTCATGTTGTATTTCTCTATGCAATTTCTACAGCAATTACCTTTTCTCTTTCTTTTCCTTCAGCAAGAAACTAAGCAGCCTTACTCTCAGAGAGCTGGAGAATGGCAAAAGAGGAGGAAAGCTTTCATGTCCTCTTTCCTAGCTGCAGTGTTCAACCTTGCAGCTACTAAGCATAATTTCATAGAGTGATATAGACTGGAAAGGACACCCAAAGGTCATCTGGTCCAAAACCCAGCTCTAAGCAAGGCTGAGATCATATTGCTCAGGGTCTTGTCTGTGAATTTTGAGTCAAGTTTTGAATATCTCCAGCCATGGACATCAGTGGTGGGTACAGTACTCTTCCTTATCTATGCACTGTTAACACCAGTGTGCTTAAATGTTCAGAGAAAAAAGAGAAGACACGGCAAATGTCCAGCTTTGTGTAGCACACCAGTTTTTCACCTCTTTTTCCAATAACAAGGTCAAAAGTTTGAACCATCCAAAGGGCACATGTGATAAGTCACTTGTCCGTACATGTACATGTGAAAGGAAAATTAGCTAATGATTTCAGGTTTTATCCCTCAGGATTACTTCACAGTACATATTTTTCCACATTTCTATCACACCATTAATCTTTATCCCGTGCCTTCTGCAGACTTCTTTTTTTCCTCCCACATAGGCTGCCAGGGTCCTGCTCTCCAAGGGGTCACGGGTTGCAGAGGGATCCACAGAAACAGGAAACCAGGCTTCCTCAGTCAGTTTTGAAACACCAAAACCTGTTTCCTTTCTGCAGAAATAAAGCCTGTCAGGGCATCCTCTGGCTAGGCTCACTATCTGAGCAGCAGCCCAGGAGGAGAGAAAACTACAGGATTTCTTGTTTAGGAAATAAATGTGAGATAACTTGTAGCATTTACAAACCATCAGAATGAAAGAGATCATTTTCTTGTTGCTCCTGTTGCACTTACAGAGGGGCAGCACTGGATTCAGCAGTCTAGGAAAGCTCTGGATCACAGGACAAGGCGATGAAAGCCAGACAAGTCACTCAGACTCGACTCCATCGCTGACCACGATTAGGGGGTCACTCCACTCTGAAATTCAAGCTGCCAAAGCAAGTGCCTCACAGGGACCTCCTATTGCATCTGCAGGCGAGACACTGGGAATGACAGCAGTGAAGAAAACTCCCAGTCCTACAATCTCTACCCCTGCAATCCAGTCAAATGGACACGGTGATGGTGACTCTGGCAGAGACAAGAGGGGAAGCTCATCTCGCAGCAAAGGGACCCTACAAAGCACTGCTGGAGAGATCCCTCTGCTTCAAGGGGTCACTACAAGCTTGGATACAGCTACAGGGAATGGGTCTGTCAAGCAGTCCTCTCGTAGCATTGGGATCACCAGGAGCCAGCAGGATGCCAACTCCAAAGCATCCGGCTTTGAAAGTACCAGGGGAAAGTAAGCTATGTATTTTTTTCTTGTCTCCTATGTACTACTTATTTTCCTGTTTCCAGTGGCATAATTGGCAAAAGTCCTAACAATTTCAGTAAAATTGTTTTTTGACCTTAAAAAAGATCATCTAAAACAAGCAAGGGTCCAAACTGGCAGCATTTACTCAGGCAAAACCATTGTAACATTTATAACAGAGTAAATGCTGCAATGTTTTATTCCTTAGGGTGGTTATCTCAAAATCAACAGGGAAGTCATTATCATATATGGGTAGGAAAGGACTACAATAGATGGCCCCCTGTTTTACGCACAGTAAACTACTGTTGATTGTTTTTCTCCTTTCTTTTCTTGTGGATTAATGAAATTGGAAATGCACTATTTCATTTTGAATCTATTAAAAATATTGTGTTTGTAAACTTCTCCACTAAATTGAAAATACAAGCAATTAAATGTACAAAATGCGTCAATGTCTGACAATTTGAAACATCCTATTCTGTGATAAAAAACTTATGAAAAGTGATGTTATAGATGAATGTGCATTCAGAGCTCTATAACTTAATACACAATAGCTGTGCATAATAGAGTATATCAAAATGTACTGTCTAGTTTTATAGTTCTGGAGCACTCAATTCTTTCTTTTGTTCCCCAATGTCTTCAGTTCTCAATGGGGATATTAACACTGACTTTGCAGATATTGCAAGCTTCCCTTAATTGCTGATATATAATCAGATACCGGTAGAAAATGAAAGATGTAAAGGATTGGTTGTTTTCCATAGTATTTATAGAGAGTGGGCTTTCAGAATATAGATTTCTTGTTTTGATACTACATTCCTGTATAGTAGCACCAAAATTCATGGAAAGGAGAATAAATCATCACTCCTACAATTTTCTTGCTGCATGTGGCTGGGAGTTAATGTACCTTCAAGTGAAAGAAAAGATTCCCACTCATCTGCGCACGTTTTGGATGGTGTGTAAGGGAAATAATGCATAAGGACCCAAAGGAAAGGAGTCCTTTGCTTGGAAGACAGAGCCCAGTAAAGGAGCTGTGCTTCCCAGACAGCTTTCCTAGCATACTCCTTAAGTTCTGCAAGTCATCTGTTACACCACCTTACCAGTGTCTGGCAGAGTGTCTGAGTTCACCTGAGTTAAATGGAGTCTCTTTTTACATGAGTGCTGATAGCTACATCTCCACTGAAAAAAATCCTAATACACACTAACCTTGGTCTTTAACTTTCACAGCTTTCTTCAGTAACAGTATTCCAATTAAATTAATCTTCAACAAAACTCTGTGAATCAGCAGATTTCTACCTTTTACTTGAGATATAAATACAAGTAGCAAAAATTTAGTCTCTGGTGAAGATGGTCACATATTTTATTTATCATAACGACACATGATTGCAACTGCAGAGAAGCAAAAGAAGCAAATTTTGTATTTGCCAGCACCTGATTTCATGAGTGGTCAAGGAGCACTGCTGTATTGTGCAACATGCATATTGGAGTCCAATGACCCAGTTAGCAATAAAGCCAGGATTGCATATCACATTTACAGGAATGTGTAGCAGCATGAAACCCCAGAATAAAATTGGATGCTGAATCTCCACTTTCTTGCTCAAACTGCTGAGCTACATAGCCCCTCCCTCTCTAGAAAATATTTACAGTTTTAGGCGTGGCTCGGTCCTTTTCACAATAAGATTCTTGTGCTACAAGGCGTGTCTTCCCGCTGTATATGAATGTTTTTTACAATAAGATGTGGTGTTTTGAACTTCCCTTCCACTTTTGCAATGACCTGGACTGTGACTTAAGTCACTTCACTGTTCCACCTTCCTTTCCTTATGGATTAGACCTGGATGAATAATAAACCTGCTTGTGACTCATTTTTCTTTTTCAGCAAGGACATGAGAAATTGCCTAGTCTAGGGTGTTGACTGTTACCAGTCACTGCTGTGAAACACCTGAAAAGCTACTGCTGAGAAAATATGCATAAGACAAAAATTTTTATTCATTAAGTGCAGGTGCCAATGACTACACCCTAAATAATTTGTCCTATAACACAAAGGAAAAAGATACTGCAAGAATTCCAATAAAGACACATCTTTCTTCAAGTTTTTACTCATTTGAAGCCTGAGCAGAGCATGACTCAATAGCAGATTCCACAGCTGCAAAGTGTACTGTCTCTGACGAAATTTGGAAGAACAATTTGCTTTTTGAATTTACTTTGAATTAAAGCACCTCCTTGGTTATAGTCTGTACTCCAACCTGAATTTTTGAGTGACCTTGTAGGAGCTGCATGATTCTGTAATCCTTTATGGCAACCCATTGTGCTAGTATATGTGCAGAGATGCTGATGTTAGGAGGCTCCATATAGAAGGAACAACAGGGAGAAATCTGTGAGAGACAAGGAAGGAAAACAAGAAGGAAGACAAGAATGAGCATTTATTTTTAAACATTTATAATTTTAAAAATACCATTACATGCACTTTGTTAGAGAGTCTGCAAGGCTGTCAGGTTGTCAACAAGGTACAATATGCATCCATTGTACAAAATTAATTTCCCAAATACTCCTTTCTGAAGGAGGTCATGTGCCTTAGTGGCTTAATTACAAAGATAATTCCCTTTCTGTCTCTACCCTAGGTTATGTGAGGACAATATTATGCACCCATATCTTATCACACACACTCTAGAACTAGGTTAGGCTTTGAACCTCTCTCTAGCACATCCTGATGTGGTAATAGAAGGGCTAAATATTGGGCATATCCTTTTCTCTAAGAAAATTAATCTCTTACTTTTTCTTCACTGGCACAGAAATGTAATTAAGACCTGTTCCCTCACATTGGAATGATTTTATAATTAACCTTAGAATAGGTACAGGAGAACACAATTTGTTGCTGTCTGCTCTCAAACCATTTCAGAAGAGTGTTTTCTATGGTGAGGTATCCAACCTTCAGGCACGGTCTGCACCCAAGCTTTCATGAGGATAAGAAAACTTCATAGGAAGCACATCTGGAATGGCCTGAGCTGAAAGAAAATTAATTTCTTCACTCCTAGTAATGAATTTGACTTACCCTCTGAAATGTGAAGTTTAATGTCTCTACAAATAGGTGATTTTTTCTTTCCTTTTTTTTAAACTTTATTTTATTTCTACCTATCTTCAAAGTTTTATGCAATCCATATCAGTGAATAAAGAAATAATGGAAACATAGAGTGAGAGAATTTCTCTGAAATTAAGTGACATAAATCTGAGTATCAATTTAGTGTGAAAGAAGAAAATTTATGATGCATTCTTTTCAATTGAGTTAATTTGAGATACATGTTTTTCAGCCTGTGGAGAGAGACAATTGCAGCATTTCACTGTGTAAAGCAGCTTAAACAAAAGTGCTGCAATGGAGAAGTCTCAGGTGGAGTCCTGAGACCAGCACAATCATCTTTTCATTCTGAACCTGATTTTATTAATTACTATCCAAGGCAGCTGCTGAATACATGAGACCTGCATTCAGGTTGTAAATTAGGCACAGTATCCCCACATTGCTGAGTGGCCCTGCATTACTCTTTTCTCTTATTATATGTATGCAACACTTTTTCCAGTTATCTTGAAGCCACTGAGGGTCTTTATAGCCTTCCTTTACCATTACCTTGGGTGATGGTGAGGTGACAGTATTTTATTACTAAGCACAGAAGGGTTTAATAGAGTCAGCACCAGGGACAGATTTGCTTAGCTGTCACATGTGATAGGAGTGCTGAAATATTTCATTCTCATGACCAGACGTGTGCATTTCTCTCTGGAAATTGCTTTTGCCTGTATCAGCTTGGTAGAAATCTAGTGTACTGACAAATTAAAACGAATGGTTAAGATCAGCAGACGGTTCAGATATATGAGGCATGTAGAAACCTGATTTAACTGCCCAGTTAATGCAAGGTTCACAGTCTCTTTTCATCATGTCACTTTTTAATGGAGCAGAGAGAACAATTCTCGAATTGATTTCCTAAGATTTTGCATCACTGTGCATTTACAAAAAATAGAGTCACACATGGCTCAGGGTTCAGCCTCACTGGGTATATTCACTATGACCTGGAAGGAAGGAAGGAAGGAAGGAAGGAAGGAAGGAAGGAAGGAAGGAAGGAAGGAAGGAAGGAAGGAAGAAGCTCTTACCCAGGCCTGAGGTTGCCTTGGTCGCTGTGTCAGGGTGGGTTTGACAATCGTCATCCCCAGAATGTTGTACTACAGCTATGCAGATCTTTGCAATAAGTCACTCTGATCCAGCAGCACCTTGAATGTATTTCTGATGCTCAGCTGTAAGCCCACAATCCAATTTTCCTACACATGCTAAGCTCGGTGTTACTCCCATAGCAGTCCCAAGGCAGTGATGGCTATTAGAGTCAGGGCAGACTGTTTGCAGTCGGACAGGACACATAGAACTGGGGAAAAAAAAATCACTTCTTAGCCAAAGTTGTTTTTGAGATACTCACAAAGTAGTTACCCTCCTCAGAGTCTTGTTGTTTAGTTTTTCTGTGATCAGAAAAGACACCTCTATACAGATGATTTCTGATTTTTTTTCCAGGATGGAAAGGAAGGTTTCTGTTTGCCTCATTACACTAACTATTTAACTATTGCTCATGCTTATCTTGCTCTTGTTCTTTGTTTCATCTGCCATGGGAACAGCAAGGATTAGGAAGAGACTGTTTTCTATCCCTGGAATGTCCCTTCACCCCTCTGAATAGATAAGGATTGCTGTACCAATCTGGACACAGTGTTAGGATTTACCTACTATAGTCAACTCTTTGTGGCATTTCATTTAGGGGACAACAGAAACATCTGCTCAGGTATGCAGAGAAAATAGGCATTCTTACAAATCTGAATATAATTAACATTTTAGAGAACTGATACTAATTCTAGAAAAGACTTGGCAAGGAGAGGACAGCAACAATGTCCCCATGTGTTTTCCAAAGGCATTATCTGTGTTGCCAGATAGAGAATGCAAGTGTTGCAATTGTCAATTTTTCTGCCAAATCTGA